GCATCGAGGAGGCCCTCAAGGCGGGGGGCGGCCCGGACGCGGCGCCCCGGCGCGACGTGGTTCTCTTCGACAAGCCGACGCGCGGGACGTCCATGGATGAGTTCAGGGAAATGCTCCTGAATTTCCTCAAGGTCAGTGTGGCGCATCCCCCGCCCCAGGAGCCTCTAAAGCCTGGGGAGCTGCTTTGGTAGGAAAGAGCCCAAGAGAAACCCACCTTCCCTTTAAATAAGAGCTTTCATGGCCAGAGGCCTCCCGTGGGGATGCAGCTCCCTGTGACGCTGCAGGGCCGGCACCGGATGAGCCGTGGTCTTGGCGAGGCGCTGCCGGTCTGTCCCATGTCCCCACACAGCGACGGGTGTCCCCCAACCCCAGGAGCCCCCTGGCCAAGAGCGATGGTGATTCCCATCACAACACCCCCCTGGACCAGATCCAGCCCTGTATTCCATCGGGTGTAACCGCCAGGGATGGCCCTGTCCAGCATGAGCTCCAAAATGCTCTTTCCCATCCAAGCGCTGGGCAGCCCCGGGTCTGGTACAGCTGTGCTGGAACAAACCTCGTCCAGCTCTGGGATAACCCCAAATTCACTTGACCCTGGTGGCTGGTGCATCTTCCTCCCGGCCGAGCGCTCGGCTCTCTGTTTTCCCAGTTTGTTTCCATGAGCTCCGGGAGCTCCGAGGGCTCTGATGCCCCTTCTCTCCCCCCCACAGTCCCACCTCGGAGACCAGCCGTCCCTCGCAGCCTTGGTCGGCCGGATCATCGCCATGGCCGACGTCAACAGAGACGGGAAGGTGTCCTTGGCGGAGGCTAAATCCATCTGGGCGCTCCTGCAGCTCAACGAGTTCCTCCTCCTGCTCTCGCTGCACGAGAAGGAGCACACGCCGAAGCTGCTGGGCCACTGCGGGGACCTCTACGTCACCGAGAAGATCCCCCACACGTCCCTGTACGGGACGGAGGTCCCCCGTGTCCTGCAGTCGCTGCTGCCCTCCGCCGTCCAGCGCCTCGTCCACCAGTGGGTCGCGCCAGCGTGGCCCCGACGGGCCAAAATCGCCATCGGCCTCTTGGAGTTCGTGGAGGAGATTTTCCATGGGACGTACGGGACCTTCTACATCTGCGAGACCAGCTCCAGGAACGTGGGCTACAACGACAAGTACGACTTCAAGATGGTCAACCTGAGGAAGGTGGCGACGGAGACGTCGGTGAGGGCCTTCCTCAAGGGGCGGCACTGCGAGCAGAACGGGGACTGCACCTACGGCAGGGACTGCACGGCCGCGTGCGACAAGCTGCTCAAGCAGTGCAAGGGCGACATGGTGCAGCCCAACCTGGCCAAGGTGTGCGGGCTGCTGCAGGACTACGTGCTCCCCGGAGCGCCGGCCGAGCTGCGGGAAGAGCTGCGGAAGCAGCTCCGCACGTGCACCACCCTCAGCGGCCTGGCCAGCCAGATGGAAGTGCATCACTCCCTCGTGCTCAACAACCTCAAGACCTTGCTCTGGAAGAAGATTTCCAACACCAAATATTCCTAGCGGGAGAAGCCGGAGTCTCCAGGCTGAGAGCGAGCCGAGGGTTGGAGGTCTCGGGCTCTCCATCCTCGGCCCCGCAGGAAAACGAGGGGAGCTCCGCGTTGTGCAGCCCCTTCTCCTTCGTGACAAGCAAAGCATCGTGACTTCCAGCACCCGCAGCATCATCCACATGCGTTTCTGCTCTGCCTGCTGCAGAGCGGGAGCATCCGGAGCCTGCGGACAGGCTGGGGGAGGAAGACGACACAGGAGGAGCTCAGGAGCCAGAGCCCAGATGGGAGCATCCAGCTTCCATCCGACTGCTCCTCGGTTAGCAGCAAAGCAGTGCGGAGAGGCAAGGATGAATCACCCATGCTGTACTTGTCACATCTTATTTTGATGAGCATCTTTGATGTAAATAAATAGCTTTTCTGTGAATCACACCACTACATCGACAGGAAAACAGCAGCCTCTCCAATACCAGCTTTTCTGGGAACTAAAAGAGAGGAGGGTAGAGCTGCCCTACCCAAAAGGGTCCGAGTCATTTGCCATAAGATCCAGCTGCAACTTCGGAAGCAAAATAGGCGGCTGTTCCCCCACGAGAGGAGCCTGGCACCGGCTTCACTCCTTGTGAAGGAGGAAAGGGCTACAGCAAAGGGCTGCAACACAAACAGTTCTGACAGGTTACATATGCTCCATACTCCAAATATATATATGGGGGTGTATATATATATATATACATATATATGCTCCATGTCACTTTGCGTCATAGTAAGACAGCCCTTCAAGGATAAGTCAACCTCTTAGTTCGCTTAAAATTAAGCTACTTTGCAGAGGTTACTTGGCGTCATACTAAGCCCTTCAAGGATTAGTCAACCCCTTAATTATTCCCTTAAAATTAAGCTACTTTGCAGAGGTTGAAGGTTAATATCAGAACAATCCACCGCTTCTCCCATTATTAGGATAAAATTCCAGGGAGCCTTGCAACAGCTAGGGAGACGTTCCCTCCTTTGGCTGTATAAATACGAGCAGGGCTCCAACTGCGTCCCATTTCCTTTAAACACTCAGTTCTTCAGCCTTTTAAGACAAGGGCAAAAGGAGTTTTTGTGTGAATTCCCGAGCTGGCTGCTGGTCTGGCAGGATATGTGGCCTCCCAAGGCCTTTCCGAATGTCTCAGCTGGAAATTATGAGCCCTTTGGAGGAGATTCCCGTAGTTGCTCCTGGTAGTTCTATAGGATCATCGTTACCTGTTATTTATGGAGAAAATATTTTGGTATCAACAGTGCTCTGAATCTAGCCCAGAGGTGCTGCAGGTGCTTCCCATGGAGAATCAGCTTTCCAAGGCGATCCCTCCTCATCCCTAGGGGCTGTTCTGAAGGATGGCAAGACCCTTGAGTCCCCTTTCATTCCGTATTCCCACCTTCATTCCATATTTCCAGCTGCAGATGCTGGACTGGAACATGTAGCTCCAGGTTCACCTCCCATTTGCAAAGGGGCTTTTGGGCAAAGCGGGAGGGCAAAAACTGGGTATTTTGAAGTGATCCATGTAGCTACCACAGCTTTTACTCTATTGTCCTCTATTCCCATGGCAACTAGCTCTACTGGCAAATTAATTTTCTCCTGCTATTAGAAAAAAGAACTTGAATATTCCGTACCTTCCATTCAGGTTTTCCAGAAAGTTAATTTTGGTCCTGCAGTCTCCATGTTTGAATTCCTATTGTGAACTTTTTCCTAGAAATATGAAACTCCCTTGACATTGAATTTCCTCCACCCCAAAAGCAACACGATCAGACAAAGCAGCCAGAAAGACGGAGGGAAAACAACCCTGTTCCTTGCTTATCCACATAATCCCAACAGTGGGATCTCTTTCAGCATCTATGATGAAAACATGAAGTTCAAGGAGAGAGACAAAGTACTAAACAGAATTAGTTAAGACAGCTTTATTCAAATAAAGACACTTTTGACAAAAACTTCTCACGTTTCCGTCCATGTCATTAGTCTCAACACTAACATCTGAACACACTGGACTGGCTCAAAACCAGGCCTGCGACTCACACATCCTGCTTCCCATTTGGAAAACAAAACTGGAGTCTTGTCCCTCACTAAGAAAAAGCACAAGGGTTCCTGGACACGTATTTATGGTTTACCAACTGCCCTACAATATGGGAGAAAAGGCAGTCAGGGCACCAGGGACACCCTGCCCTTCCCAGGAGCTGCTGCTGCAGCAGGGCAGCACATTCCAAGAGCCTTAGGAAGGCAGCGACAGGAAGGGAACTGCTGCTTTCACTGTTGAAGGCGAAGCCACAAACCATCCTCACACACACGAAGAAAAATCCTAAATCCCAGAAAGGTCGAATATGATTATTACTTCAGATGCTATAAAAATACAAGCACAATAATTTAAAACTTACTGTAGCTGGCATCTTCATTTCATTTTTGTTTTTTAGCCTTATTTATTTCATTTTTGTTTTTTTAAAACCCTTCTTAGCCATGCAGACGAAACACCATACTCCAGAATCCGGCTGTGAAAACATTAAATGAGCCCAGATTACTGGGAGAAGGGAAGATTACAACTTGTGAGGTGCATCCAGCAGGAGCACAGCAAAAGCAGAAGGGACACTTGGAGCACAGCAGCTCTCTTTTTTTAAACTGACATTTGCACAGGTTGCAGCAGATATTCGGGATCACAGGGAATTCCCCATGCACTTCCACCGACTGTAGTGCTGGAGTTGGTGTGAACCTGTGCGTGAGGAAAGATGAAGCTCTGGGAACCTTCACATGCCGACACCGCTGGAGGCAGCTGTGCTGGGAACCCTCAATCTCATGGTGTGATCTGCAAATAGAACAAGAAAAAAAAGCCCCAGGATGTTAGAAAATAACTTCAATAGCCAGCAATCTTCTGCAATTCCAAAGCACTTAAATTATTCAAGTTGTACTATCGATGAATCTTTGCAACACTTATTTATAGGGTGCATTTAAATTCTAATTTAAGTTGTACTACCGACAAAATTTAAGTTGTACTACCGACAAATCTTTGCAATACTTATTTATAGGGTGCATTTAAATTCTCCTATTTTCATGTACCGGTGACTTTCTTTCATTATGCCCAATACATTAAGTTTCAACAACAGGGAAATCTGTAGTTTCACATCTTTGAATTTCTCTGTTAGTTAAAAATAAATAAATACATTACAGCTGAAAGCCAGGTTAATTCATTCAGTACGATAATATTTATAGCCTGGGATTGTTGCTTGGTCTTGGGTTAGCAGCAAATATGTGAAATCTACCAAAAAGTTTGAAAAAGGCTCATTACGCACTTAGTATCCCTACAAGACCCTTGATTTGAATAAGAAATTGATGAGAAAAATCAAATATGTATTTCAGGGTTAGAAGAAGCCAGGAAATTAAAATAGAATGGCTGCATCTTAATGCACACTCTTTGCATAACCATATCCCAACAACTTTATTAACCTTTTCCAAAGCCACTGCTGCTAGTGTGACATTAACAGGTCACAACAGTGAAACCCTGAGGACTTGAGACTATTACAATAAATACTGAAGTCTGCCATTCCTCCCTAATGGTGCCAGATGCTACAGGCAAGAAGCCTGAAGTAGCTTTCAATCTTTCTGCTGTGGTGAGACCTTGGCTGCAAAGTCACCTAGGTACAACTTAAATGCCTTAGGTCTTATAGGTCTAAAAATAAAGCCTCACCTTTGTTCTGTGAATCTCTTCTTTGGTGTCTGCCTTCATTTTTTTTAATCTAAAAAAGACAGATATGAAAAGGAATCAAGAGCAAGAAAAATGCATGTGAGAACTTAGAAGGATTTTTCAGAGACTTAAGGAACCAGGAGGGAAAAAGGCAATGCTAGTTTCTAACCCTACCCCTCCACGACTGTGGATCCTCCATCTTTCAGGATTTAATATTAAAAGAAAAAAGATAAAAGTGAGAAGCAACTGTCAGGCTGTGGATCATCCCTGGGCACCCACAGGTCTGGGAGCACCAGCAAAGACGGAGCCTTTTCCTCTCTGCCACCTAATGACACAAATGTGACACAAAAGTCACACTTGCAACACATGGGGCATGGGGATAAGCGACATAAACTTGTAGGAACCACTGCTCACCTCTGGTCTTGGAGAAAACCTCCTGGATTTGCCACATTTACCCACGTTTCTCTGAAAAGGAAAAAATTATAAATACCTAGAGTGTCACAGTAGCTATTTAAACATACTTCAACACCTGGTGACGTGGCTGTTGTTTCACTGCTGACGCAAGTTTGAGACAGCCAGTGCAAGAGGCGAATTAAAGATATATAAGCACAAAAAGGCAGCGTATTTTTACCTTCAGAAGAGGAAGAAAGCCAGGGCTAAAGGTACGCAGCTCCCTGCATCTGCTCCCCCCGGTCACCAGCTTCAGATCACTTCAACTCACAGTCTTCCATCTGTAATACAAGTACAAACCTACATGCCAAGTGTGCCTACAGTTTTTGAGATTAAGTATTAAAAAAATGCAGCTTTTCTGCTACACATTGGCTCAACGGATACAGGACATAATGAATTTCTACTGCACACAGATTTCACTCAAATGAGAAGAGTCAAATAAAAGGGAAAAAAAGGAGAGCTTTGGTTTCTCAAGAGCCTCCTCATAAAAACCAGTCCATTTATAACCATGTCAGGCTATTAATCACTCTGAATGCTCACAGGTCGCAGAACAAACGAGCGTAGAACAGCCTGTTTCTCTCTGCCACCTAATGACACAAAGATGTCACAGCAGCCACCTCTGCAACGCCTATAGTGGCAGGAACCAGCTCAATATAATTACGCAGATACAGAAACTTACAAAAATGTATTAAAAAAATCTGAAATATTACACGTAAGATTACAATGCATCAACTGGGCACAGAGTGTAAGGTTAAGGCCAGACGGGTCTTAGGACCCATTAACCATTAATAAATCTGATACCCCCCATAGCCCAAGTTGAACTATTTCACTCAGCAAAATCAGTGCCATAAGGGCAGGTATTTATAAAACCAGATTCTTAAGGTAAGTCCATCACTATTCTTACTCTTACCCTTGATTTATCAGGATGGAGAGTCTTTCCTCACTTCAACCCATGCATCTTCTGTTAGGCAAAACCATGAAAAGAAAGCAAAAAGAACACATTTTTAATAAAATACTCAGTCTACTCGATCTTCTTCCTGAATTACACCACTTAACGCCATCTCAGAAAGACGTTAAGTAATTAGCAATAAATTAAGCCAGAAGACTGTTTTCTGTTTGTTTGTTTTCAGGTAATTTGCCGCACAGTTTCTTTACTCACTCAGATCCTTACAGGCGCTTTCCTCAAGGCCCCAAATGGCCGCCTGGAACTTTCCACGCTCCTTTCCTGGCGCCTTCCCCGGCTTTATTTCATCCCGGCCACCCACCCGCGGGGACCCCGCAGCCCCCAGGGCTCCCTCCTCCTCCTCGCAGCTCCATAAAGCGGGAAGGACGGCCCGCCCTCCGCTTATATAGCGGGCGCGACGGCGGCGCGGAGGGGCCAATCCGCGCTGCGCCTTCGCTTTCCGCCTGCGCCCCCTGCTGAGCGGGAGGGCGAGGAGCAGCCGAGAGGAGGGGACGGGGACACGGGGAGGGGACGGCGACACGGGGAGGGGACAGGGAAGGGCCAGGGGACACGCGAGGGACACAGATATGGACACGGGAAGCGGACAGGGATGGGGATACAGTCATGGGAGAGGACAGACATGAGGATACAGTCATGTGAAGGGGACAGGGACATGGAAAAGGAGCCAGGACAGGGGGGACATGAACCCATGGCCAGAAGCTAGGCTTGGCCTAAGCCCTCCCACAGGGATCCAAGACCTTTTCCCCAGCTCCACATAGAGGTCCCCAAGCCCCCATCTCAGCAGCCCCTCACAGCTGCCTTGGACACAAGATGTCCCCGCTGGGGACATTTGGGGCTGGGGGCGACAACGGAGCTGCCCCTTTGGACATGGACTCTGGGGGGGTCCCCATCTGCAAACCCCCTCACACCTCAAACCATCCACCCGCTGTGTTTGCAAGGAAAAACATAAAAGACCACTTAATTTGTCAAGAAAAAAATGTGATTTTATACAAGGTCGCAAGCTCAGAACCAGGAAGGCCACACGACAGAAGTGTCTCTGCGGCAGGGACAAACACAAGGAAAGGAAGCGGGACTGGCCCTGCTCTGTCTCCCCTTGGCTCTGGACGGCGTTTTTGGGGGTGGAGAGCAGGACAGGGAGGTTCTAGCACAGGCAGATCCTCCGCTGTGGTCACTGCAGGACAGAGTGACAGAGCTGGGGGTGCCAGAAGGGACCAGCTCTGCCCAAAGCCCCATCTCCGCGTGCCCCCCGTCAGCAGGGCTCGGTCCCTGCTGTCCCCTGGCGGGCGCCAAGGGGCTCTAGGCGCCCTCCGCTCTGCTCTGCAGCTCGTCGAAGACCTCGCGCTGCCGCCTCTTGTCCTTGGCGCGCACGATGGCCATCCTGAAGAGCTTGCAGTAGAGCTCCATGGCCGCGGGGCTGTCGTCGTTGCCGGGCACAGGGTAGCTGATGAGGCAGGGGTTGCAGTTCGTGTCCACCACCCCCACGGTGGGGATGTTCATCTTGGCCGCGTCGCGGACGGCCACGTGCGGCTCGAAGACGTTGTTGAGGCTGCTGAGGAAGACGAGGAGGTCGGGCAGGCGCACGCCGGGCCCTAACTGCACGTGGGCGTTGGTGAGGAGGCCGCCCTGCCAGTAGCGCGCGTGCGCGTACTCCCCGCACGCCCGCGCCGTGCTCTCGACCAGGTGGCAGAACTGCCGGTTGCGGCTCACGAAGAGGATGATGCCCTTGCGTTAGGCGACGTGCGCCGTGACGTTGAGCGCCAGCCGCAGGTGCCGCACGGTCTGCTCCAGGTCGATGATGTCCTGGCCCAGGCGGCAGCCGAAGATGTAGGGCTCCATGAACCTGCGGGGACACGGAGGGCGACACGAGGGGACGGGGAGGAGACGGGAGTCCGGAGTGGTTGAGGTTGGAAGGGACCTCTAGGGATCATCTAGTCCAACCCACTGCTCCAGCAGGGACACCCAGAGCAGGGGCATAGGGTGGCATCCAGGTGGGTTGAAGATCTCCAGAGAAGGAGCCTCCAACAGCCTCTCTGGGCAGCCTGTTCCAGGGCTCTGTCACCCTCACAGTAAAGTTCTTCCTCACACGGAGACTGGGTTTCAATTTGTACCCATTACCCCTTGTCCTGTCACTGGCCACCACCAAGAAGAGTTTGGCCCCATCCTCCTTACATCCTCCCCTCAGGTATTTGTACATGTTGATAAGATCCCCTCTCAACCTGCTCTTCTCCAGGCTAAACAGGCGCACAAGGTTCTGCAGGATCATGCAGGCAAGAACACGGGTCTACCAGGCAGTTCCAGCACTAACCCGAGCTAGAGGGACCTCCAAAAAAGCCTAGGGAAACGTGTGGGATTTCCACAAGTGCTGGAGCGCGGAGTAGGGTCACTCACCTATGCCGGCAGCCCTTCTTGTGCCCCAGGTGCACCCGGGCATCGAAGAGATCCTTCAGGGAGAAGAGCTCCTTCACGTTGAAGAAGTCGGGGTGGCTGAGGGGCTCGGTGACCAGCCTGTCCTCGGCGCCTGAGGGAGGAGGGAAAACGTGACCGCTCCATCCCGGTGCTGGCAGCGCATGAGCCGGGACCGGAGAGTCTTGGGACACTGTCCATGGCACCCTGGGCCCCGATGTGCACCCCTGGCCAGGCACGTGGCAGGAGGGACAGCTCAATAGGATGTGGCAATAAGAGCAACGGCAGCCTTGTGTCCTGGCCTGGGTGCTGTGGGGTGGCAGCTGGGTGACACCGTGAGGTGCAGGGGCGCAACCAGGCAATGCCATGGGGTGCAGGGGTAGAGATGGGCAATGCCAGGGGATGCAGGCAGGCAATCAGGCAATGCCATGGGGTGCAGGGGTGCAACCAGGCAATGCCATGGGGTGCAGGGGTGTAGATGGGCAATGCCATGGGGTGCAGGGGTGTAGATGGGTAATGCCATGGGGTGCAGGCAGGCAATGCCGTGGGGTGCAGTCGGGAGATGCAATAGGATGCGAGGTGGCAGCTGGGCGATGCCCTGACGTGCAGGAGTGTACGTAGGCAATGCCATGGGATGCAGACAGGCAATGCCAAGGGGTGCAGAAACACAACCAGGAGATGCCATGGCATGTTGGGCAATGCCATGGCATGCAGGGGGTGCAGACAGGAGATGCCAGGGGGTGCAGGGGTGCAGCTGGGTGATGCCATGGGTGCATGGATGCAACCAGGGGGTGCAGGGATACGGCGTGGGGATTCCAGGGGGTGAGGGGCGCAGCCAGGCAGTGCCATGGGGCCGTTTCGGGGCGCCCCGTCCCCGTCGACACTTA